TAAATATAGTTGTTTATTAAGAAAAAATAATAAAAATATGAGATTATAAATGGATTTTACCTTTTTTTCTATAAGAAATATTATTAAAGGCGTGTTCTTTTAACAAAATATACATATTTTTTTAAAAAAATATTAATATACTACATATATTTTTTATTAAAATATTTTTTATAAATTATTTAGCAGAACAACACACAATCAGATAAAATTTGCTATTTGAATTTCAAACATAGTTGGTAACGCCTACAGGAAAGAAAAAAAAAAAAAAGTATTGTGTTTTTAAAGTTTTTGCCAAAATCATTTAGAAAGAGTTATACTTCATCCGTCTCGTCGAAAGATTATTATTTTTTAATTTAATAATTATATTACATACCTAACATTAATAAATACCCTTTCAACTTACAATATATTACACAAATGTCATTACTTTTATATTATATCATACTAATAGAAATATTTTTGTCTTTTTCACTATAATTCAATATAATACTAATATTCAAAATTCTACGTGCAAAAAGCAAATAATACCCTTCCAATGAGACGAAGGGAGTATAATACTACTAATAATAAAAATAACAATAATTAGTAAATTTTGATTTTGGAGTATGTTTCTTAAGCTGAATTTTCCCAAATTTTACTATTTAGATTCTGCGTTTTTAAAAAAAATATATATTTTTTCTCTCACAGAACATCCCATCAAACATTATTTTTGTACCAAACTCAATACAATTTTTTTCCAAACTCACGAAAAAACCACACCCTTTGTCAGATATGTCACATTCAATTTATTATTGCAATAAGATTTCGGTTCAACGGTTGAACAGATCTCACGGCACAAAGACTAATCAATGTTAATCCAACGGTTGATAATGGATGGATCAGAATAAAGACTTAAGTCAAAGAATGACCAGCCGCCACATAATGTTGAAGCCTAGGGAAAAGAGAGTAGGCAAAGGAATTGATCAACGTAGGAACGTCAACGGGGCGGGATTGGGCCGGGTTCTGCGGGCCCGGAGACCCGCCCTACTATAAAATATTAAGCTCCGAGATCCGCCTCGCTCCACTTTCATCCGGCCATAGGACTGGCCCTGCGGAGCCAACCCGGCAAATTCGTTTTTTTTTTAAAATATATAATAATAAATATTTTTTTAATAATTAAATACTAAAACAAATAGCATTAAAAGCAAAAAAAAAAATTAAAAACAATCAAATATTGATCTATAAAAATAAGATAAATAAATAAATAATATATTTTTATTATATAAATATACATATATTTGGTATAATATTTTTAAAAAATTATTTGAAACAGACGACTAATTGAATTTTATATTTAAAATTATTTAAGTAAATAAATAATATGTTTTGATTATATAAATGTACATATATATATATATATTAGTTATAATAATTTTTAAAAAATATCCGGGTTCGGGTCCGGATTCGGATTGGGACAGATTTTTAGTAAAACCCGTAATCCGCCCCGAACCCGGCCGAATTTAAAATTTTAAATCCACAACCCGCCCCGAAACATATTATTTAGACCCGAATCCGCCCCATTAAAAGCGGATCCGGGGCAGGTCCGGGACTAACCCGCCCCATTTGATATCCCTAAATCAACCTCTGCCTCTATATATATATAATAAAAAAATATATATATTCTTAAATATTTTTTTATTTACTTTCAATATTACATTTATTTATAAATATATTATAATTATTTCCGTATTCAATTTCTTTCTTTCAAAATTTTTCTTCTTTCCATTAATTCACTTATACTATATTTTTTAAAATACACATTTATTTTTATGTCATATTTAACTAAGTCTCATTTCCAATTCAAATAAAGTTACATATTTTATGGACGGAATATTATACAGCTAGCCATTAAATAATGGATGCAGTTCATACATACCTTGGGTAATTTTTTATTTTTACTTTTTGATATATATATATATATATTTTATATTGGGTATGTGGATTGTTGCTTTGTTGTGATTGGATAAGATATACTCCCTTCGTCCTAATACAATAATTTTATTTACTATTTTTATCCGTTCTAAAACAATAGTCTCATTTTCATAAATAATCGTATCACTATAAAATAATTCTTACTTTTTTTCATTATTATTACACAATTGTCACTATTTTTTACACTAATACACTCACAAGGAAAAAAAAAAGTCTTTTATCCGTATTTTTTATCTGCTACCAATATAATGTCAATATTCTTTAAATCCCTTACTAAATACAACTCAAGCTATAGTTTTGGGAACAGAGGGAGTATATAATATATTACATTAATATATGTATATTATATTTTTTATTAATATTTTACAAAGAATCGTATCATTCACAAAATATTCATATTTTTTCGTTCGCTTGTAAAATATACATATTTTCAGTTTTGATTGTCTAATTATAAAATAATTATTTAAATGATATATCATTTTTTTATTCAAAAATATTTTTTTATTCAAAAATATCAGTTTTTGCCCTTGTGAGTGTATTAGAGTAAAAAGTAGTGGCAATTGTGTAATAAAAATGAAAAAATAAGGGTAATTTTATGGTGATATACTTATTTATGAAAATAAGACTATTGTTTTGGGACGGACAAAAATGGTAAACAAGACTATTGTATTAGGACGGAGGGAATAATTGATAACACTCAATCGCATCTTCTCATCTGAATACGAATCACAAAAATTATCCCTGAATGTTCAAATTTATAAGCATGATGTGAGTACAACAACAACAACAAAATTATTAGGCTCCACAGTAACACATCTGCAGATTCTCACGTCATAAAAAATAAAAAATAAATAATAAATAATTAGAAGAGTAAGATGAAAATATTGTTTGAAAGTTAGGTAACCAAAATTCTTTATTAATGTAGACTTTATAAACATCTCTCGTTCGATATTGATTATTTATAAGTAACATATCTCGAATGTATCTACAATATGAATTTTTTTTGAAAGCATGCCCTATATGTCGAGATATATATATATATCGTAACACATTGATGAGATTATAGGCCACGTGATTATTTATGTGCTCTTGTCGTTATAACTCATTAATTCGATTTCAACTCACTTTCGATCTTGTATCATATATCTTAGTTATTAAGTTTTATACCTCAAGGTTTTCATAAAATTTTGTAAATATATTATGCCTCAATATATCCTTTTAATATATATCATAGTGTTTTCGATTTTCATCACATTATATATTTGAAATGCTTCATATACACCTTATTAGTTATGATATAAACAATTGTATTATTATTCTTACATTTGTTTAAAAATGTTTTGCAATGTAGGAAGGGTACAAAGAATTGATTTTCTAGGCATGCCCTTGTTGAAGTTTAGCAATAATTTTCTCAGTACTTTTGCGGGTTTTAGCGCAAATTTTTATTATTTATATTTTTTTAAAAAAAAAATATATCATATCAAACAATTAATTTTTTTTATATACATTATACTACAAATTTATTTTACATTCAAAATATCACATCAGCTTTTATATATATATCACATCAAACAACTATTTAAATTCAACTTTTTATTATTTAAAAATATAGGGTATGCTTCTCCAAGAGGGTTTGGTCACTGTGCATAGTAAAATGGGCGTCAAACCCCTTGTTTTTTTTTAAATAAAATTTTATTTAATATTTATTATAATTAAATGAAAAAAATATATATACAATATATATGTCATTTTGTAGGGAATAAAATTTTTTATAATACAGATAAATAAAAATTTAAATATATGTATGTTTAGGTATAATATAAATTCATAATTAAATCATACCATATAAATTTTATCAATTAAATTTAATACACATTTATATTATTTTATTCTTTATCCATCGAATCAACACACATCAAAACTCCCCAAATTCCAACCAAATCCAAACTAAAAAAAAACAACAAAAACCAAACTCATCCCAAAATTCAAATAAAAATCAAACTTAAACTCAACTTTCCTCAAACTCCCCTAAGGAAACATACACCTGAACCCAAAAATTAAAACTCACAAATAAATACACGTGTCTTTTTAAAAAATTGAAAATTGAAAATTTGTCATTTATAGTAAACTATTAATACAGCAGAAACCGTCAGTTTAACACAGACGAACCGAAGGTTCAAATAGCTGGTCTCTTAAGAGCATCTCCAAACTATTTCATTGCTAAATTTAGAATAATACTCTCTATGTTTTAAATATATATATATATATATATTTTAATAAAGTATGTATCACAGCCGCCATTCAAAAATACATAAACCTCTATTCGAACCTAAATATATATAATAGTTTAAAAATAATTATATTTTAGTAATTAATAAAAGTATATAAGATGTTATTGAAATTTTTGTCTTGTACATAAAAAAATATATATATATAGTTTTTAATTTATATATAAATTATTTTTACTATATAAATAATAATAATAATAATAATAATAATAATAATAAAAAGTTAAATTGTGATGAAAGAGCATACCACTAATTAATTAAACATGTATATATAAATGATTTAATTTGAATTTTTAATTATTTATTCGATTATATAAAAAATCAGTTTGTTATAAATATTTAAACATTTTTTATTATATACTATTTTTTAATAAAAAAGTAATTTTAAATTATAATATTTAAAATAGGTTAAATTGCACAAAACTTATATGTGTTTCAAACTCTACGGTAGTTTCATAGACTCCGCGTCTAACCTTAGGCGGTCCTTATTAAACGGTATTTAATCTGAGTTCCTTATTTAACGGTATTTAATATAAATATGCCCAAACTGCGAATAAATTTTAGATTACTTATCCAATTTTTTTCCTCTAAAAATATCAAATCATAACACTTAATTTTTATTTTTCACACATTCAAAATATTACTGTATATTTATATTACATTATACAACTATTAAATTTAAAAATTTTATTATTTAAATCTCGTCACAAAATCCAACTCCCCTAAACAAACACAATTGACCTAAAAATAAAGAATGGAATTGTAACTTGGTGGTCTAAACCCTAGAGAGTGATCGCAGTTAATTAGGATTTGTACCATCGTCTCTTCAATTGGTCATCGACAGATTCAAATCCGGGAGAATTCAAGGCAAGGGACATATCTGCCCATCAGCTTCTTGTCGCCACCCTGGTAAGTTCTAGGATTTTATGTGTACTGTTGTATGAAATCGAGTTATACAGTTCAAGAGAGCGTTTGGAGATGATTGTGCTAACTGTTGATGGAAAACTTGGGAAGCATTTTTTGGTTGAACTCTTTAGGGTTTTGAATTCACTTTGAAGGAGACTGGACATATTTATGATCGAGTTTTGTGTTCGCTGATAAATTGAGTATGCTTCTGACGAATAAAATTGACGCCTTCTTGCTTTCCATAAACTGGAGGTCGGAAAGTTCGAATTTTTTGCTCTTCTGATAAAGTTTGAAGATCGCCATTTGAAGTATATTATACTTCTTGTCAATTTCTATTCAATTTAAATATATTTTTCTTGTATCAAATGGAATATAGAAGTATTTGATGCTAGACATACTGATTTGTTTGTGTTTACAATCCTAAGTTACCTTTTCGTAAAAATCTATGTGATGTGTGAACTGTTGATGATATATTCCAGCCTGAAGTATGATCAAATTCATTAGCATTATGATACAAGATTGCATATTTGTTAAATGGTTATATCTTTTGAGTGATAAATTTATATTAATGAAATATTAATCTTATTAGCTCAGAGAACCTGTTACTGCCTTCCAATGGCAGTTCCTGATCCTCAGGCTTCCTTAGATATTTTGGTGAGAGATCCCGAGGGATTTATTATTTGGAATGGACCACCTTTCACTAATGGAGAACCCAGTTTGAAGCTCAATAAAATAACATGTACATCTACAAAGTTCAGTGAGGATGGGACAAAGCTCATGGTTATCAGATCTGATTCCCATATTAGCATCTATGACACGAAAAACTTTGTAGAGATAAGGTCCTTACAAGTGCCTAATGTTCTTTCCGCTAGCATATCTCCCCACGGAACTTACATTCAGACCTTTCAGAAGTCTACATCTCCACAAGACAACAACGTGCATGTATGGAAGACAGATACAGGGGAATCTGTATATCAAGCGTTTCGGAAGAACATGACAAAAGCATCATGGTAATGGTACTTGTTTGGAATAAATGATCTAATTATTGAGGTCTTTTTCATCTTATACTTTTCCTGTTTTCAGGCCCTTAATTCGATTTAGCATAGATGAAGCTGTAGCATGCCGTTTGGCAACAAATGAAGTACAGTTCTTTGACCCTGAAGATTTCTCAAAGGGGATTATTAATCGGTTGAGAGTGCCTGGAATTGCAACATTTGAGCTTTCTAGGACTCCTGGATCTCATGTGGCAGTATTTGTTCCAGAATCAAAGGTTTTTATTCTAATAAATCTTCTATTAAGGCCATATATTGAAGTTATTAACCCTATTATAGATTTCCTGTTGCTTCAGTATTCATATTTTGAGATGCTTTCACCATTTAGCAATTTGAGTCATGCATCACTTCAATTTGATTGTTCGTTCGTGTAGAACATAATTTTTGTATATCCCAAATAATATCTGAAATAGGTCTATTTATACACTGTTAAGACTATCTATGGAACAGAAATATCTGTCTAACCAATTCTATATAACTAAATATATGGATATTACAGTTTAGAATTTTTGTAATCTTATGTTCTTTGAGCTTTTATTAACATATCCCTGAATTTCCTTGAAGGTATTGGTTCATGCGAAAAATCAGAGATAAAGGAGAATTAATGTTAAAATAATGTTGGATTGAGTGAGAGTTTTGGAATGTGCAGTGAATCTATATTTTAGAGAGGAAGCTACTTGGAACCTATGTAGTCTTAAGGCTTGCCGATATGTTTGTACTATTCATGACTCATTAAGGATGTGATGTAGCAGCAGTGATCTGCCTTTCTTGATGTTATCAAGGGCTTGTTTCATTGATGCACTTACTTATTTTATTCTGCTACTGACATAGGAAGACGTAAATGTGCTTGTTAATCTAATTATGTGGATTCTGTAGGGGATGCCTGGCAATGTTCAAATATTTTCTTGTTCGAAAGAGTTACAGAGTCAACCAGTTGCCCGGAAAAGTTTCTTTAGGTGCTCATCAGTGCTATTGAATTGGAATTGTGGTTCCACTGGACTCCTGGTTGTTGTTCAGTCAGATGTTGATAAAACTAACCAAAGTTACTATGGAGAGACAAAGCTAAATTATCTGACAACTGATGGAACTTATGAAGGACTGGTGCCACTTCGTATGTGTGATACGTTTTTGTCATTTTTTTTAATGAGGATTATACACATTTAAAATCAATTAATCTTGAATGGTTTTTCAGGTAAGGAAGGACCTGTTCATGATGCTCAGTGGTCATTCTCCAGTAATGAATTTGCTGTTGTTTATGGATGTATCCTTATTTTCTTCCTAACCTGAAGAGATGGCCTGTCTTATTGCAAACTAGAAGTAGAAGCATTGTATGAAAAATTACTTATTAGGTACTGAAGATTGTTACATTGAAGTATATGTTCTGTGTGTGTTCCTCTGTTCAGTATTGTCTTATTCACACGTCACTAGGCTAAAGCTGTATGAAGAAAGTATGTCCTGATATATATTATATATGTTGGATGGATTTAGTGACAAGAAATGGAAACTCTCTCCTGGGATTATTTGAGGAAATAGAGGAAACCGAAAACAGAAGATCCTGAGGTTCAGTATGCCTCAGATTGTTTGTCTCTCAACTCTATTTAACAGTTACACTTCAATGCCAGATTGCTACCCTCATTTCTGTTGTTATGTCCAACTGTTTCTCTTCCTTGACTGCTCAGCTCAGTTATGCCTGCTATGGTAACAATATTTGACAGGAAGTGTAATCCTTTATTGGAGCTTGGAACAGGACCTTTCAATACCATTAGATGGAATCCCAAAGGGAAATGTATCCTTATATTTATATTTATATGACATACTGACTTTGATATTCTGCTCCAACACGAACGTGCGGATTTATTCGTTTCCATTACAACTACATATTATTATTATTATTATTATTTTATATCATGTTTGTGTCCTTACGACTACTATGCAGTTATATGTATAGCAGGTTTTGGGAACTTACCTGGTGATATGGTAAATGATCTTAGAATCTTGTATACTGTCTTTGAGTCATTATCTCTGTATAATTCTCTTGCTTTTTCCATTAGCTCTCTAATTATGTGTTAAGGTTCCCATTGCTCATCTCCTTATTTATATTTTTCTGTGATGTATTATGAGCTTGAAGCTTAAGTTGTAATTTTTGTTCGAAATTTTCTTTGTTGAGTATCAAATGATTCAGGGGTTCTGGTTGATTTTCTTTTGTTAATCTTTCCCAAGATTCAGGATTTCCATGATATATTGAATAAACATGCTGAAAAAACTGGTTTCAATATGATAAGGTATGAAGACATCAATTAATTTTAGCTATCTAGTTGAATCCTGATAAACTATAGCACACCTTGTCTCGGACATGTACCACAATTTCTATTTCTTAAATTTTGTATACTTCCAGTTCCAACATTCTACTCAATGTGCTTGTGGATTCTTGATCTGGAAACCAAATGCTCAAAGTACCCATAAGACTAAAAAATATGGAAAACATGATTGGCATGGAGTATACATGTTTACCATTGCTTGATTCCATTTGCAATCGGGTAATTTTGTCAATCTATGCCTCCATCTATTTATTCTGTCGCGCAATTCAGGCATTCTGGGACTATGTTGAAAAAAAGAAAGTGGGAGCTACAAAAGCTGAATTATCGGTGTCAAGTGAATGGTCGGCAGATGGACGCTATTTTATGACTGCTACAACTGCCCCAAGACTGCAGGTTGACAATGGGTATGTTTCTTGTTTTTATCTTTCCTCCCATCACGCACACGACAATCTTTCTTGGCTCTGTGAGTTTTCTTGATAATTTTTGTAGAGGTAGCCTGAGGAAATTTTTTATCTTTACATGATAAACAACTTCTCAATTGTTACTGTTTGAATGAAAACCTGTTGATACTTGATAGGACAGCATAGTTGTTAGCTTGTTCGTAAGCTTGGATGGCTTGTTTATGAGCTCTGTCAGAGATTAGTTATACCTGATTGGTTAATTGAATGTTATATTGAAACGGTTGGGCTAGCCAATGAGACCTAATTTTAGACCTGCTGCATGTGCATCACATTTCATTAGAGCATCAAAAACTCTTATGCTGATGAAAACTTGTGCATGAAAGTTTGGAATGCTGGGTACACAAAAATGGCCTTTTCACTTTGGAAAGAGCTGTAAGCTCAAGATTGGCATTGTATTTGAGTTTCTTCTATGCAGCAGTGCGATGTTGCAATATCTTTAGAGTGAATTTCAATTTTTATGATTGCCGATTTCTTGGTTTATAAAAAAGGGTATAGGGTATATTTGATAGTGTAATGTAACACATTCATACTACTAATTGGATTCTGCTTCTGATTTTGCACTCAGAGCTTTTGTTCCTTTTTTTTTTTTTTTTCTGAACCGCCAATACAATTTACTGAAAAGTTGTACTGATTTGATGAATTGCATTGTTTTCCCCTTTGCAGGATCAAGATTTTTCATCACAATGGTTCATTGTACTTCAAGAAGATGTTTGACAAGTTGTTTCAGGTTATCATCTTTCTGTTTGTATGTCTCTTTACTATGTAATTTTCTTTATTTTCTTAGTTCAGTCCCATTTCAATTCACACAGGTTGAGTGGAAACCAGTGTCACCTGAAAAGTTTGGTGATATAGCAGATCTCTTAAAGTCTGTCGACTCCTTGAATTTGGAACCAGCAACGAAACAAGGTCTGTTGTTTCAACCTTGCTTTTAAACCTCTACTTTTAATAATTCATAACAATATGATATTATGTCACAGGGCAAGTGTCAAAAACTACTCAGGCCTCTTTGAAAGCTACTATTTCCAACACTACTGTACAGAAACCTGCTGCATATCGTCCACCTCATGCTAAAGCAGCAGCAACTGTTCAGGCAGAGGTATACTGTAGAAGTTAATCAAACCCAAAGTTTAATTTCACTATGCTGATCACTGCAGCATTGTTTGCAAATACTTCAATTACTTTTAGTTAACTTATAATCAAAATGTTAGCAATTAAAGGCATAATTAGGAACAGACGACGTGTTGTTGAGTATATTACTAATGACATGTAAAATGAGAATATTATTTTGAGCCATAGTTGCAGGAGGTTTCTGCTTATTTCTGTGTTGTTAGAATCGAAGCCGTAATTTCCCTCTCTACACAACTTACTAATTGTTCTTTCTTATTTCTTTCTTAACAGCTGTTTGGAGCAAGCCCTGCTGGGTGAGTACATATTGTTGTTTATCCATTGCCAGGATACTCTTGCTATTTTATTGACTATCATCTGTGCGCTATTTGCAGAGAAATGAGCAAGAATGCACTGAAAAACAAGAAGAAAAGAGAAAAACAGAGGGAGAAAAAAGCTGCAGAAGTGACGGGCACAGGCAGCCAAAGTTGATTAAAATCATAACTGGCCAAATGTCATGTATGAGGATCCATTTTTCGACAAGGTATGCTACATTGCAACATCCTTATCTGTTTCTTGATTCTACGATTCGGAACTTTTGGAGCCAGGAGAATTACATATGCGGATTTTATTTATTCATTTATATATTAGAAGCTTTGTAGGTTGCTTGGCATGATTTAATGAAAGCTTTGTATCTGTTCCTCTAACTTAATGTGCTTAACAAGGATGCACATACTGTTTACTATTCTTGTTGAATCAAATAGTTCAAATACTATGATTGGAATTGAGATTTCATATTTAAATATAGAGAACCAACAATCTCGGCTTCTGTTTTTTTTTTGGTAATATTTCGGGTGAGATATATTCTCCGTTAAATTTTAATTGCAGAGAGTTCTATATAAACTTCTCTCTCTATATATGTAGGTAAAATTAATTTTCATATTAAAATAAAAAAAATATATATTTTATTTGATATTTTAAAAAAAATAAACTTAAATAATAAAAATTTTGTAAGAAATTTACAAAAAGAACCCAGCTTGAGTCTCCAATAGGAGTATAGGCTTGTAATCATAGGGAAATATTCATTCGAACAACCAACCCCTTTGCTTTTCTTTGTGACCGTGAATGCAACAGATGTTAACACAATATATATTTTTGCATCGTCCGCCCCACGCTAAGTTGCTAGGAGCGGAATCATGTTAGGAAAGACTATAAGCTACATCGAACGAACGCTAAACAAGCCCACTTCTATAATGATAAATACTTTGTCCGTGCCATTCTGTAATGATAAATACGATTGAGTGTAAAAGTATTTTTAAAAGACTAAAATGTCCCTATTTAGGATAGTTGTTTTGGGTGAAGATTGGAGCTAAACATATGAACAAAAATAATGCTAAGCAAGGAGAAAAATCATGCAAGACTGAAACTAAGCCAAATAAATGAATAAAAAGTGGTGGACGTGTGAATGGTTGGAGATTCTTGCAAATATGTACTAAATTTTATTTCTTGCAACTTCCTATTACTCCATCTCTTCCATCATGTGTGGTTGTTTCTTGGTCCACAACTTCAACCAAAAAAATTTGTGTCAAAAATAAGTGTTTACAGGGCGTCCTTGGCCTGGGCGAAAATTATTTATTTATGTTATATATAAATTATTTATATATATAAATTATTTGACATTAATATGTTAATTCAAGAGTATGACTTGATAGTTAAGTTTTATCTACATTCTTTTTTAAGTTTTGAGTTCAAACCCAAGTACTTTCAAAATTTATTTTATTCTAATTATTTAGATAAAGAATATATGAATTATACATATTAGGGGTCCATAATTTTTGTTTTAAGATTGGCAATATTAATACTATTATTCATATTTTATCTAAAAATTTATTTTATTTAATAATTTATATTCTATTATAGGTGAAAAAAAAAATCGGAGTAAATCATTTATATATTTATATATATTTAGGGGTCTTTTATTTTTATTTTAATTATTTTTTTTCACTAAAAAGATAATAAATATTAGACAAACTTATTATTATTATTATTATTATTAGGCAAAATTATCAATAACTCCTTTATGATTTCGAAACTCAGTGTAAATCCTCTATATACTTTAAAAATGACATGAACCCCTTATACTTTAAAAAACGTTCCACGTAACTAATTTTTATATTTTTTTGTTGATGAGAATATGACTTTTCATCTATATTTTTTGCATGACGGGAGTTTCATAATGTTTGTTAAAATATAAGGAAGTGTTACGCAATTTTTAAAGTATATGAAAATTTTATACCAAAGTTTTGAAACTAAATTTATGCTAGAAAAGAAAAAATTATATTTTAATATAGATAAAAAAATATTATATATATATATATTATTTTTAAAGACCCCTAACTTTTATTTCCCCTCGAAAGTCAGAAACGGCTCTAATATTTACCTTACATCGAATGAAAGAAATATGTACTTCAGGTATTATTTTTTTAAAAAAACACAATTAACAGATTACGTAATAATAAGAGAAAACAAAATAAAAATGATGTTATATTGCTGATTTGGGATTTATCAGTATCAACATTATGCTGACTATTTCAATCAACATATAAAAATAAATGGGACAAGCCCATGTAGCATAGAATATTTGTATGTATTGTCAAATCTGTTTTATGTACTCCCTCCGTCCCAAATAAGGTGCAATATTTATTTTGGGCACAGGTTTTTACGTGGGTAGTATTAAGTAGGATAATTTAAAAATTATGTAATGTGATGGAGAGAAAAATGTATATATATATATATATTTTTTTTCTTTGAGTGATGTGATGAGATAAAGTATGGGGTAGAGATTAAAGTATAATTAATTATTTTCTATTTTGAAAATATTGCAGAGTGTTTGAGACATACCAAAAAGGAAATATTGCACGATGTTTGGGACGGATGGAGTATAAATTATATTTGAAGAGTGTGACATCGTATATACTGAAATCAATTTTACAATCTATCATATGCACTAGGGTGTGTTTGTTTGGGAGATTGGATTTTAAATTGACTATTTATTCAATTTTTTTCCCCCCAAACATCAAATTAAACACGTATTTTTTATTTTTTATATTATATTGAAAATCAATTTTACATTCAAAATAGTACATAACACTTATTTATACCACATTATACAACTATTTAAATTCAAAATTTTTACTCTTTAAATCCCAACTTAAAATCCAAACCCAAACAAACATCCCCTTAATGTTATGTGCGGCTACTTTATGGATTTCAAAATTAATAAATAAATAAAATTGAGAGGGACAAAGTCAAATGTAACAGCGATCTTGTTCCAATAGGAACTACCAATAAACTACATCAATGGTGTGTTCGCTATTGATGGGCAGAGAATGAAATAATTTATTTTTTTATTTTGTTTGTTTGAGTCGAAAAATAGAATTTGATAAATAATTTTTTATTTTTTATTTTTTATTTTTTTCTCATACGTACACAAATGGAGACAAGTGGATGATGCCATATATATATATATATATAATCTTTTTTATATTATTTAATTTTTATATTTTTTAAATATATTATTTTAATTTTACAAAAAATTATATTTAATTTATTATTCAAATATTTAAAATATTGTAAAAAATATGATTTTACAAAATATGCATATATAATTTATAATTATTTTTAAACTCATCAAAAATATTTTTTTGTTAAAATTCTTTTTACTGATTAATCATTTAAATCAAACTAAAAACAATGAATTCTAAATAAGAATAAGGACTCGGTTTTTATTCAATCCATTCAGATAGTCATATTTTTTACATTTTTCAATTCAATTTCTCTATTTTATCAAATAAGACTCAATTCTCTTTTTCTCCAATTTCGTTCACTGCAATTTCATTCTAGGTACCAAACATCCCAAAAGGTTGATTTATATCAAACTATTGCTACAATGCTTTCATTTTATTTTTATTTTTTTGAAAAAATTATTATTTCTATCTCTATTTTTAATAAATAAAAATATTTATATATATTCAAAATTATTTTATTTATTTATAAAATTAATTTATGCTCATTATAAATAAATATTTTTATTTTTATTTGTTTGTACTATGTAAAATTTTATTCATTAGAAAATAATATTTATATGTCATATATTTTATTAAAATAAAATTATTAAAATATGTAAACATATAATTTAACTTTTTTAATCTTATAGTAATATATGATATCATTAATAAAAAGCTAACTAAATAAAATCACTTTCAACTCAACATTCAATTGAAATGCAACCGGTAACCAAAGTTATTTTTCAATATATTTCAAAAAATTAACTTAATTTGAAAATTATTAAAATAGTTACAAAATTATTTTCTCAAATCCAAATATTATTTATTTATTTATTTATTTTGAATATAAAAAAAATATTTTTATTTTATTTTAGTAAAAAATATTACTCCCTCCGTCTCGGTCCAAATGGGCTCTTTGTGGTTTTGTAGTAAATTAAGAAATAATAGTATTTTATTAGTTAGTAGAAGTGTGTAAGAGATTTTGATATTTTGGTCGTTTGACTTTATATAAAAAGTAATTGTATGTGTAATGGTATATTTATAATTTAAGTAAAAATTAATAGTATTGTGGTATTGGCGTATGATTACTTTTACTAAAATATGAAATTGATACTTTTGAGTAGGACATACAAAAATAGTAAAAAAATAATTTGAGTTGAGACGAATAGAGTATTATTTATTTATTTATTATTTTATTGTGAAAGAAATATGGGTGTGTTTTTTTTTAACAAAAAGTACTCATACTTTTTTGCAAAAATATTACTCATCACGTCTCATAAAAGAGGTAATGACATTTGTGTAATATATATTGTAAGTTGTAAGAGAATTTTTAATGTTAGTAAAAAAATATAGTTACTAAAATAAACAAATTGATATTTTATTATAAGACAGACCAAAATAGAAAAAATAAATAAATAAATTGATAAGGAATAAAGGAAGAAAATAATATATTACACATGCTTTACTATTTTTATATTCTCTATACATTTTTTTTATTTTATACCTCACGTCAAAAATATTTTACAAAACAAACACACCATAAGGTACTACAAATTATTATACATACACGTTAAATTTTATATATATATATATATAACACATACTCTCTCCGTCTCATGTAACATGGGTGTACTGTAGACACGTGAATTTAGGTAAAGTATAATTAGTAAGTAATTAATAAGTGTATTAGTAAAAATAATTATTATTTAGTAAAATTAAGATTAAAATAAGTAAATAGTTTAATTAAAATTATAAAATTATAAAATTTAAAATTTAAAATGCGATTAAAGTGCATAATTATATTTTCAAAAATAGAAAGGATAGGAAATATGGACAAATTATGTGGGACAGAGAGAGTATTTCAACGACCGAGATGAAGTATAATATAAATGAATAAATATAATATTTTAATAATTATTTTTGTTATTAATATTTTAAATAAAATTATTGACTTGGATTACGCAAACTTTTCTAGTAGACTCGGTTGACTTTCTAGAATTTCCAATATAGTAAAGATTAATTGATTTGTTGGTCTGAACACATTATTATCAATACGTGATTCTTAATATATATTTATTTTTTAACAAAATAAATATTTAATTTAAAATATTATATTTTTATATCATCAATATAATTTTATACTATATTTTATAAAAAATAACTAAAAGTAAAATACTATCCAAACAAACTTATTATTAATATTAATGTATTATAGTAATAAAATAACAAGAAATTTGATTAAAAATATTAAGTAG